AGTAGTGATTATTTCAGGTAATACCATTGTAATTATTTAATATTGGGAACCTCTCCTTTTAGAACCTGCACTACTTGTTACTGTACTATAGCCCATTTAAAAACCATTTAAAGAATTATTATATTATAACCATTTATTTATATTATATAGTATAGTATTATTCCCACTGTAGGTTAGGTGAGTCAGAGTTGCTGCCCATTAGGTGGATGCCCCCTGAAGCTATTATGTTGTGTAAATTCACAATAGACAGTGACGTGTGGTCCTATGGTGTAGTACTGTGGGAGATATTCTCATATGGTATTCAACCTTACTATGGGATGAGCAATGAAGAAGTGATTAAATATGTACGGACTGATAATGTATTGAGGAGACCCCAGGGGACACCACAAGTAAGAGACTAGCTCCTGATACTCTACAGTACATTATATATACTAGTAATTAATGATGATATTAATAAAGGGAGCTAGGGATATACTTAAGGTAGGCCTGACTATACTTGTAACCTAGTGTAGTAAGAGGATACTACAGTACATTGTATGGAGGATAAAGGTATTCATGTGTACGTGTTATACCTGTCTATTCCGGAGACCTTGGGACCCAATAATACCCTAGCTCCTGATTATGAACCTGTCCTTATTTGAGAGGTTCATTAATACACATTACTATTGTATTGGGACTGATACTACCCCTCCTCATTATAGAGGTGTCCTTATTTTAGAGTGTCCACAATAGGAGGAGGTTATACTGTATTACTATTAGTATTCCCTCCAGTCCTACTACTGGTTCATCCTTTAATGTTATATTAGAATGGAGTCATTATGTATCATGAGTATATATAATGAGTGGGTCTGTATCTATTCATTATATTAGGAGATATATGATCTTATGTTGGACTGTTGGGCCATTAATCCTACTGACAGACCTAAAGCTATTGAAATATCTAACGGGCTAGAGAGATGGACCCCTGACCTATCAGCACAAATTGAAGTAAAGTGTAGGGGGGCCGGGCTGGGTCTGAGACAGGGGATGGGGGTTTCATTAATAAGTGTTCCCTCTCTCTCTCTCTCATTGT